ATCTGTGCCAGGGGGTCTCACAGGATCTGTGCCAGGGGCTCCACAGGATCTGTGCCAGGGGGTCCCACGGGATCTGTGCCAGGGGCTCCACGGGATCTGTGCCAGGGGACCCCACAGGATCTGTGCCAGGGGGTCCCACGGGATCTGTGCCAGGGGTCCCACGGGAGCTGTGCCAGGGGACCCCACGGGATCTGTGCCAGGGGCTCCACGGGAGCTGTGCCGGGGGTTCCATGGCAGCTGTGCCTGCAGGTCCCCCCCGATGGCCTTGGGGGTGTGTTAACGAGCTCCCACCTGCTGCCAGCTCACTAACATGCCGGGCTCAGCTGGTGCCGCCGGGCACACTAACGATGCCGGGCACTAACGAGGCCGTGCTGTGTTTTGTCTCCTTTCCTGCTCTGCCGCCGCCGGCTGTTCTGTGCTCCGGCTGTTCTCTGCTCCTCTGTCCTGTGACTGTCTGTCCTCTCTGCTTCCGCTCCCGCTGCCCTCCAGACCAGCACCCGCCGGCCCAAGGTGAGCAGCCAGGGGGGCACCAGCGTGGGGGGCACCGGGCACTGACAGCTCATGAGGTGCCAACTCCACCCAAACACAGCTCATGGGGTGCCAACTTCACACAAACACAGCTCATCGGGTGCCAGTCCCACCCCAGACACAGCTCATGGGGTGCCAGTCCCACCCAAACACAGCTCCGGGGGTGCCAACCCCACCCAAACACAGCCATGGGGTGCCAGTCCCACCCAAACACGGCCCATGGGGTGCCAGTCCCACCCCAAACACAGCTCATGGGGTGCCAGTCCCACCCCAAACCTGGCCCATCGGGTGCTGACCCCACCCAAACACAGCTCATGGGGTGCCAGTCCCACCCAAACACGGCCCATGGGGTGCCAACCCCACTCAAACACGGCCCATGGGGTGCCAACCCCACTCAAACACAGCCCATCGGGTGCCAACCCCACACAAACCTGGTCCATGGGGTGCCAGTCCCACCCAAACCTGGCCCATCGGGTGCTGACCCCACCCAAACACAGCCCATGGGGTGCCAGTCCCACCCAAACACGGCCCATGGGGTGCCAGTCCCACCCAAACACAGCCCATGGGGTGCCAGTCCCGCCGTTGGTCCCCGTTGTCCTTCCACCTGGTTACACAGAGCCCAGAGGAGCTCCCGGCAGTGATGGGCTCCTGATGGGCTCCTCTGGAGCGGGTCCAGATCCCTGGGGATCCCTTCCCTGGGTGAAATGGCCGTGGGAGAGCTCGGCTGAGGGAGCAGAGTGTGGAACCCGCGTGGCAGTGCCCAGGCTCTGCTGGGGGGTCTCTGCTGGGCAGTCCCTGCGGGGGTTGCTGATCCCTGACTGTCCCACCCTGTGTGGGGTGGTTTTCAGTGGGATCTTGAACCTTTCCTGTCAGAGGAGAGAGGGGAGAGCCCGAGGTGTCCTGCAGGGCTGTGTGGTTCCAGCCTGTGCTCGGGACCAGCAGGATTCACCTTGGGAAGGGGCTCGTGGCTGGAGGAGAGGAAACGTGGAGAGAAATCCTCAAAAAGCTCTGTAACAGTGGAGTTTGGGTTTGGAAATGGAGAATATTCTGTCTCCCCTGTGCTGGGGGAGGCTGCAGGAAGGGCTCCATCCTCCCTGGCTGCTCCTGGCTGATTCCATCAGCCCTGGGGCACTGGGATCCCGTCCCATTCCCTCGGTTTGAGTGGCTCCTGTTCCTGGTCTCTGTGCTGGGTGGAGCTCTGATGGGATGTCCTGTGGGACCTCCTGATCCTTTGGCCTCACACCAGCACTGGCAGGGGTTAGATGGAGTTAGGAGTTGGGATGGAGTGGGTTGGTTTGGAAGGGACCCAAAGCCCATCCAGTTCCACCCAAGGACACCTTCCAGTATCCCAGGTTGCTCCAGGCCCTGTCCAACCTGGCCTTGGACACTCCCAGGGATGGGGCAGCCACAGCTTCTCTGGAGAATCCATTCCAGTGCCTCACCACCCTCACAGGGAGGAGCCTCTTCCCAGTATCCCACCTCCCCCTGCCCTCTGTGAGGGGTTTGTGGTCCCTAAAGCACCAGGAACACAAACATCCCTGGTTTGAGTTGTGTCTGGGAGGAGGCACGTGGGGCCCGGTGCTGCTGAGATGATTCCTGTTCTCCATCCCTGGGAGAGCCAGGATCTCCCCAGGAGGGCAGGCTGGGCATGTCCAAGGGGCTCTGGACCCGCTGCAGTCGATTGAACTCCGATTTGCCTCTATTTTGGGAAAAATAAGGGCAGAGGGCGGGTGCTGCTCCTGCCTGGCTGTGTCCCTGCCCAGCCACGGGTGGAACCACCCACCTGGTGAAACCTCGACAAATCCAATTTCCAGGAGTAAAATAAAGTCAGGAAATTTAATTTACACAGCCAGAGGTGAGTGCTCCAGAAACAGGGTCTGTGAGGAGACCAGGAGGGCCTGGGGGCACCTGGTGCTTCCCTCGGGCACTGGCTCCCCTTTTCCCATTCCTGGGTTCAGCCTCGGTGCTGGGTCCCAGTGATTAATTAACAGCCTTGTAAGCACTAATGAAGCAGCTCCAGGCCCTGGACTGTGGGAACTTACTCCTTGTTCATTTTTGTTTCCTTAAAACTGGGTTCCTGTCTTGGTGAGCTCAGAGTTTTTGCTGTCTCACCCTCTGGAGCTGGGACCTTTAATCATGGAATCCTGGAATGGTGTGGCTTGGGAGGGACCTTGGAGGTCATGCAGTGCCACCCCCTGCCATGGTGGCACTAGGACCAGGTTGCTCCAAGCCCTGTCCATCCTGGCCTTGGGCACATCCAGGGCTGGGGCAGCCCCAGCTGGTCTGGGAGCTTCCCTTCCCCGGTGGATTATCCATGAACTGTGGCCGAGCCCGGCTCCCCTGGAGCAGTGTGAGGGCCCAGCCTTCCCGGGGGTCACAAGTGGCACAGGCAGGGCTGGGTGTCCCCACTGTCCCCTGGGAATGGGCACCACCTGGAGCAGCCCCCGGGAGGTGCCGGGGGGAGGTGAGAGCTGCGGGGTCCCCTCCCCGGGTGTGCCCTGACCCCTCCTGTGCTGTGTTCCAGCCCACCCGCACCCCCACGTCCGGCGGGGCCGGGCCCTCGGGCTCAGCCTCGGCCTCGGGGGGGGAGATGAGCAGCAGCGAGCCCGGGACCCCCGCCCAGACCCCGCTGGTGGCCCCCGTGATCCCCACGCCCGGCCTGCCCTCCCCGGGGGCACCCCCCGTGCCCTCGCCCACCAAGGTGAGTCGTGCCCAGGTGAGCCCGGGGCTCTCCCTCCTGCCTGGGGGTGCAAAGCCCACCCGGACAGCTCCGACATTCCCACACTTGGGGGTTTCCAATCAGCAGAGTTATTCCTGCCTTGATCTTTAAAGTCGTTCTTCATCACTCCTATCCTGGTTTGATTAATTAATTAATTAATTAGGGCTTGGGAGAGATTTGGGGCATGAGGGTAGGGAGGGAATAGTGGGAGAGGACAAGGAGCTGGTTCTGGGGTTGGGTACGGAGGGGAGGGGGCTGGAGAAGGCACCAGGGGGTGGGAAGAGGGGATATTCCCACCCATGTCCCCAGTTCCCTGAGCTCTCTGGGAACTGGTTTCTGTACCTGGGGGCAGGAATGGTTTTGTTGGTGGTGCCACTGGCATCGGAGTGTCCAGGGCTGGGGAAGCACCAGAGGGGGAGTCTCGGGGGGTTTCCCATGTTGTGTAGGGTTTTTCCAAGACCTGTTCCTTGCTGTCACTAGCTTTGGGAGTTGAAGCTTTATCCATGAAGCTGCTGCCAGGGAGCAGGGTCACATCCCCTCATCCCTGCAGCCCTTCCCCTGGGTCCTGCTGTGCTCGCTCAGCCTTTCCCTGCCCCAGGAGCTGAGCTGCTGGAAAAGGACCTGGATCAGTTTTCCCTGGGGGCAGGTCACCTGGGAATGACCTGGATGCTGCAGTGGGATTGAGCAGGCACTAGTGGAGAGTGCAGGGTCATCTCAGTGGGAGCCAGGGGCATCACTGCCAGGGATGGAAAAATCCATTCCAGGGCCTCCCCACCCTCCCAGGGAGGAACTCCTTCCCAATATCCCATCTAGCCCTGCCCTCTGGCAGTGGGAAGCCATTCCCTGTGTCCTGGCACTCCGGGCCCTTGTCCCTCTCTTAAACTGCCCCAAACTTGATGCCAAAAGTCAGGCCAGGTTCCACGGGGTTCCAGGAATGTCCCCAGAACCCTGTCCAAGGGATGTCCCTGCTCCTTTCCTAACTCTTGGCTTGCTGCTGCAGGAGGAGGAGAATCTCCGTGCCCAGGTCAGGGACCTGGAGGAGAAACTGGAGACACTGAAGATCAAACGGAATGAGGACAAGGCAAAGCTCAAAGAGCTGGAGAAGTACAAGATCCAGCTGGAGCAGGTGCAGGAATGGAAGAGCAAAATGCAGGAGCAGCAGGCCGACCTCCAGAAGCGCCTGAAGGAGGCCAAGAAGGTCAGTGGGTGTCCCTGGGAGAGGGGCAGCGCTGGGAGAGGTGACTCCAGGGCGAATTCCAGCCTTGATTGCCTTTCCATGAAGAAATTTTCCCAGTATCCAACCTAAACCTCCCCTCATACAACCTGAGGCCACTTCCTCTGCTCCTGATCAGCGTCGGGTTTATTTGGGAATTGGGCTGAGGCAGGTGGGATGTTGCTTCCCCTCTTCCCTCTCTTCGGGTGCTTCCCCTCTCTCCAGGTGCTCCCTTTCCCCCCTCTCTCCCCATGGACAGGTGTCCTTGTCCTGGCACCTGTGCCTGCAGTTCCCAGGACTCCATCCAAGCAGCCAAGGAGCATTTCCTTCTCCCTGCCCTGCTTTTCCAGGGTGGATTCCTGGTTTGTTTCCCCTAAGGATTTATTTGTCTGCTCCAGTATTCCCTGTCTCCATGCCTTCATCCTCACCTGGAGATGGTTTTCCTGCCAGGCTCTCTGTGGGTGGAGCAGGGAGGAGGGGAGTGGGACACCCCGGAGCGCTGCCCGCGGGCCGTCCCCTCTCATCCCAGATAAGCTGGTGTTGCTTGGATTTGACCTCGTCTGGGAGAGCCCCAGGGGCCACTGACGGCCTGAGGCCCGTTGTGGGGTGTCCCCAGGCTGTCCCGGGGGTGCCCTGAGCCCCTGTGCCCCGCAGGAGGCCAAGGATGCCCTGGAGGCCAAGGAGCGGTACATGGAGGAGATGGCGGACACGGCCGACGCCATCGAGATGGCCACGCTGGACAAGGAGATGGCCGAGGAACGCGCCGAGTCCCTGCAGCAGGAGGTGGACTCCCTCAAGGAGAAGGTGGAATATCTCACCATGGACCTGGAGATCCTCAAGCACGAGATCGAGGAGAAAGGTGGGACGGGAGAGGGGCTTCGGAAAAGGTCCTGGAGGGACAGGACACAGGGAATGGCTGCCCACTGCCAGAGGGCAGGGCTAGGTGGGATACTGGGAAGGAATTCCTCCCTGGGAGGGTGGGGAGGCCCTGGAATGCATTTTTCCAGAGCAGCTGTGGCTGCCCCTGGATCCCTGGAAGTGTCCAAGGCCAGGTTGGAGCAACCTGGTCTAGTGGAAGGTGCCCCTGCCTGTGGCAGGGGTGGTGCTGGGTGGAAATTATGGTCCCTTCCCACCCAAACCAGTCTGGGATGCTGTGATCCCATGGTTCTGCCCTTGCTCCGCAGGCTCTGATGGAGCAGCATCCAGCTACCAGGTCAAACAGCTGGAGGAGCAGAACGCCCGGCTCAAGGAGGCCCTGGTCAGGTGGGAGCCCAGCTCTGCTTCCCAAAGCTCCTTCCCAGGCCCCTCGTGCTCCCCCAGGCCCTCCCCGGAGCAGCCCGTGGAATTCCTGCTGATGGGCAGTGTCTGGGGAGGGAACAGGGCCTCGTCCCTGCCTGGGCCCTGACGGGAGCTGTGGCTGTCCCAGGATGAGGGACCTGTCGGCCTCGGAGAAGCAGGAGCACGTGAAGCTGCAGAAGCAGATGGAGAAGAAGAACACGGAGCTGGAGTCGCTGCGGCAGCAGCGGGAGAAGCTGCAGGAGGAGGTGAAGCAGGCGGAGAAGACGGTGGATGAGCTGAAGGAGCAGGTGAGTCCTTGGGGAGGAGGTGGGAAGGGAGGTTTGGGGGCATTTGGGGCCCTTTGGGGCCATTTGGGGCATTGAGCAGCTGCTGGGGCAGCTCCTGGAGAGCTGCACGAAGGGATGCCGTGGTGATACACCCCTGGTCCCATATTCCCTAATTCCAAGCCACATTCCAGCAGTGGGGCAGTGCTGGGCTCTGCCTGGCCATGGGATGACTCCTGAGCACTGGGCATGGATGATGCTCCGTGTGGTCACTGTCAACTGAGCTGGAATTCCAGCCTCGTGCCCTGAGCCACAGCCCAGGAGCCAGGAACAGCTCCAGGAGCCAAAGCCAAGGCCCTTCCCACGTGGGGTCTTCCTCCTGGAGCTGCCAGCTGGTCTGGATGGGTTTGCTCTCCTGAGGGATGCTTTTCCCTGCTCCCAGGAGGGAGCTGAGCACTGTCTGCTCCGCCCTCAGCCCAGGATGGGGCGAGGAGTTCCTCAGCCACAGCCTGGCAGAGGGATCCCTCGGCTGTGACAGGATTTGGGAGCTGCTGGCTGTGGTGCTGAGCTCCAGGATGGAGTGGGATGTGTGTCCTGGCAGGGGGATGGATTGGGATGTGGATTTGGGTTGGGTTGCAGAGGGATGGATCAGCATGCATGTCATGGCAGGGGGCGGGTTGGGGTGTGGATGTGGATTGGATTGCAGGTGGATGGATGTGGATGTGGATTTGGATTGGATTGCAAGGGAATGGATGTGGATGTGGATTTGGATGTGGATGTGGATGTGGATTGGATTGGATTGGATTGGATTGGATTGGATTGGATTGGATTGGATTGGATTGGATTGGATTGGATTGGATTGCAGGTGGATGCAGCTCTGGGTGCCGAGGAGATGGTGGAGACTCTAACGGAGAGAAACCTGGACCTGGAGGAGAAGGTCCGGGAGCTGCGTGAGACCGTCGGGGACCTGGTGAGGAGGATTCCCCCGGGATCGGGGCTGCTCCGGGGGGTTGGAATGCTGGGAGGGCTGGGGGCTGGCCCAGCACCGGGAGCTGTGGGATCCAGGGAAGCTCCCCGCGGGCTCGGGGCCCCCGGGGTGTGACCCTGTGCCCCGTGCCCCTCCCCGCAGGAGGCCATGAACGAGATGAACGACGAGCTGCAGGAGAACGCGCGGGAGACGGAGCTGGAGCTGCGGGAGCAGCTGGACATGGCCACGGGCCGCGTGCGCGAGGCCGAGAAGCGCGTGGAGGCAGCGCAGGAGACCGTGGCCGACTACCAGCAGACCATCAAGAAGTACCGGGAGCTCACGGCTCACCTCCAGGTGCTGCCCCTCGGAGCCCCCCCTGCTCATCCCGGAGCCCTCCCGGCAGGAGCGTCCCCAGGGAAGGTGTCCCTGGGGCAGGACAGGCCTCCTGCTCCCGTGGGATCTGGGCACGGCCGGACACGGCTGGTGCCTGGGAGTGGTTCCTCGTGGAGCTTCTCTGGGAAAGCCTCCAGTGCATTCTCCTATGGGGATAAGCTGGGAGAGCTGGGGGTGTCCAGCCTGTCCTCTCTCTCCAGGGAGACCTTAGAGCCCCTTCCAGTGCCAGGGGCTTCAAGAGAGCTGGAGAGAGACTTTGGACAAGGGCCTGGAGGGACATGGAATGTCCTCCTGCTGGAAAAGTGGAGATTTAGATGGGATATTGGGAAGAAATTCTTCCTGGTGATGGTTGTCCCAGCCCTGGCTTCAGGTCTCCTGGCAGGGAAAAGAGGCAGGGAATGAGCCTGGGGATTCCTTGGCTGTAGGACAGTGCCTGGAATGCACTTGGTACCTCTCCCTCCCACCCACCCGTCACTGGGTGTTGCAGAAGGAGCCCCTCAGGAGGGGGCACTGGGAGGTCTGGGGGGTCTTGCTGGGGGTGTGGGGTTCCCTGTCTCTGTGCTGGTGCCCCTGTGTCCCACGGCCCCCTCCCTGTGCCCAGGACGTGAACCGGGAGCTCATGAGCCAGCAGGAAGCGTCTGCGGAGAAGCAGCAGCAGCCGCCCCCCGAGATGTTCGACTTCAAGATCAAGTTTGCGGAGACGAAAGCCCACGCCAAGGTAGGGAGAGCTGGGTGGGGCAGCCGTGCCCTGGGACACGCTCCTGAGGTGCTGGCACCAGGGTGTTCCCAGAGCTGGGGCTGCCCCTGGATCCCTGGCAGTGTCCAAGGCTGGACAGGGCTTGGAGCAGCCTGGGCTAGTGGGAGGTGTCCCTGCCCGTGGCAGGGGGTGGCAGTGAGATCCCAGGCAGGGAGCGAGGCTTTGCCATGTCCTGGAGGAGCAGGATTGCCACTGCTGAGGGGCTGGGCTGGGCTGTGCCGGGGTGCAGAGCAGTTGTTGACGCCGTGTCCCCGCAGGCCATCGAGATGGAGCTGCGGCAGATGGAAGTGCAGCAGGCGAACCGCCACGTGTCCCTCCTCACCTCCTTCATGCCTGACAGCTTCCTGCGGCACGGCGGGGACCACGACTGCGTCCTGGTGCTGCTGCTCATCCCCCGCCTCATCTGCAAGGTGGGGCAGGCTGGGAGGGAACACCCGGGCTCTCTGTCCCGCCTGGAGTCGGGATTTGCAGTGTTTACTGGTGGAGAACTTCCACAAGTTCATGGGAGACTACAGTTCCCCCCTGGTGGGGTTTAGGCTGGATATTGGGAAAATTCCTTCCTGGAGAGGATTGTAAAGCATTGGAAGAGGCTGCTGAGGGCAGAGGGGAGTCCCCATCCCTGGGGGGAATTCACAGCCCTGTGGATGTTGGTCATGGTCTTGGACTTGGGGACATGGTCAGCGGTGGCCTTGGCAGTGCTGGGGGAGCAGTTGGGCTTGATGGTCTTAAGGACCTTTATCCAACCCAAATAATTCCATGATTCCATGATTCTAAAGTGGTCTGGGAGAAGGGAGGGGGAGGAGGCAGGCCCTGCCCGTGGGGGTGGTGGTGCTGGTGGGTCACTCTTTCCAGGACCCGTCACTTTTGGGGATGTGGAGGGTGTGTGGCTGCTCCGTGGCTGAGCACACGGAGCAGGGAAGCTCGGGGTGCCCTGAGGGCTCTCCCTGTGTGCCCCCAGGCGGAGCTGATCAGCAAACAGGCCCAGGAGAGGTTCGAGCTGAGCGAGAGCTGCGCGGAGCGCGCGGGGCTGCGCGGGGCCGCGGGGGAGCAGCTCAGCTTCGCCGCCGGGCTCGTGTACTCCCTGAGCCTGCTCCAGGCCACGCTCCACAAATACGAGCAGTGAGTACCTGCGCCCCCAGTCCCACCCCCACAGCCTCTGGGAGCCGAGTCACAGGGCCTTGGGGGGCCGGGCTGGAAAAGAGTGTTGGGATCCCCCTTATTGCCTTGGGAGGGGTCGCTTCTCAATGACCCTCCTTGTGTCCCCCCCGAGAGGTGACGTGGGAAGGGATTTTGGGAGCAAGCCAGAACAGAAATAAGCAGCAGGATCCCCTTACTGCCTTGGGAGGGGTCACTTCTCTGTGCCCCCCTTGTGTCCCCCGGAGGTGACCCGGGAAGGGCCCAGCTCTCAGCACCCGCCGGGGCTCGGCCGTGCCTCTGTCCCAAGGCCAGCAGCACCTGGGGGTTCCCACTTCCCGTGTCCTGCCCAGAGGGGCATCCCAGCCCCTTTCTGACTGTCCCTGTGCCCCAGGGCCCTCAACAAGTGCAGTGTGGAGGTGTACAAGAAGGTGGGGACCCTGTACCCCGAGATGAGCGTCCACGAGCGCTCCCTGGACTTCCTGATCGAGCTGCTCCACAAGGACCAGCTGGACGAGACCGTCAACGTGGAGCCGCTCACCAAAGCCATCAAGTACTACCAGGTGGGGCTGGGGGGACACGGGGGACAGGTGCCACCTCACCTGTTGGGTGTCCTGCCTGGGATGCGTCACTCACATGGACCAGCTGGGGTTTGGCTCCTTGGCAGCCCTTTCCTTCGGGTGTCCTCACCCAGGACACCCAGGACTGGGGCTGTGTCCCCTGGGGCCGTGTCCCTGCACCGTGTCCCCGGGGATGTGGTTCTCCCATCCCACATTCCTGTACCCCACCTGCAGGCCAGGTTGGCTGACCTGTGGAATTAAGAACCACCTGCTCTTTCGGGGGGCCTCTGGTGGGGTCACTGCACAAATTGTCACTTCCAGTTAAAAAGTGGGCTAAACCCTCAAGGTTTGGGGTTTGTTGAGGGTTCTCTTCTTGGGTTGTTCACCTGCATGTGTGGGAACAATCCTGCCATTCCCACAGCACCTGTACAGCATCCACCTGGCTGACCAGGCTGAGGACTGCACCCTTCAGCTGGCTGACCACATCAAGGTGAGAGGGGACCCCAACCCTTCCCTGATCCCTGGGCTCTGCCTTTGTGCCCCCCAGGATCCCTCTGGGAGCTGAGGTGCCCCTGCTGCCCCTTTCCCAGTGCAGTAGCTCTTCCCCAGTGGTGGCACGAGGGCTCTGGGGTCAGGAGGGGGGACATGGGGACAGGATGGATGAGAAGAGGGAGGGGAGCGTGGAGACCCTCGTGTCTGGGGGGCAGGGTGTATCTCAGAGCTCCTGAAGGAATGATCACTGTTCTGCTCCCCACAGAGTGAAACCAAAATGGACCAGAAATAGCCTGACTGCCTCAGCCCATTTCCCTGGGCCTGAAAATCCCAGGGTGGTGGGAGGGTCCATCCTGGAATTCCCGGGGCCCCAGTTTGCCCCAGTTTGCCCCAGTGTGCCCCAGGGCCCTCCCTGACCTGTGCTTGTGCCCACAGTTCACCCAGAGTGCCTTGGACTGCATGGGGGTGGAGGTGTGTCGGCTCCGGGCCTTCCTCCAGGTAGGACCTTCCTCCAGGTAGGACCTGCTGGGAAGGCTGTGTGTGTGTGCCAGCTCCCTGCTGTCCCTGTGCCTGAGGTCCCTCTGTGTCCTCATGCCCCTCTGAGGTCCCTCTGTGTTCCCGTGTCCCTCTGTCCCCGTGTCCCTCTGACTGAAGTTCCTCCTCTCCCCTTTCCCCTCTATGGTCCCTCCATGTCCCTCTGAGGTCCCTCTCTATCCCAGTGTCCCTCTGAGGTCCCCGTGTGTCCCCGTGTCCCTCTGAGGTCCCCGTGTGTCCCTCTGAGATCCCTCTGTCCCCGTGTCCCTCTGAGATCCCTCTGTCCCCGTGTCCCTCTGAGATCCCCGTGTGTCCCAATGTCCCTCTGAGATCCCCTTGTGTCCCCGTGTCCCTCTGAGATCCCCTTGTGTCCCCGTGTCCCTCT